CTACTCTATGTAATTACTACTGTTGTTGGATTCACTATGGTCTACTCTATGTAATTACTACTGTTGTTGGATTCACTATGGTCTACTCTATGTAATTACTACTGTTGTTGGATTCACTATGGTCTACTCTATGTAATTACTACTGTTGTTGGATTCACTATGGTCTACTCTATCTAATTACTACTGTTGTTGGATTCACTATGGTCTACTCTATCTACTTACTACTGTTGTTGGATTCACTACGGCCTACTCTATCCAATGGAACTTATAGTAATGACTTCTAAGCGGTTTACCTTAAAACTATTAGTTTTCAATTCACAGAATATTGAAGATCCAAAAGTAGATATTAAACTCTTTCTTGACAGTTGAAGAAAGTTCGGAATTCCTGAAGCCAATAGATGTCGCTCCACCTCCCACAATGGATACACCAGAACAAAGAACGTTAGAAAGTATCAAAACCAAACTGCATCCCAAAACTAACGCACCTTATTTTTGTTACACCAAAACACCGTGGCAACTTCGCGTCAGAAAGGAGGTAATGATTTTATTTTAAGCCAGAGGTTTTATTTGTGTTTACTTGTTAGGTTTTTATATTTCAGTTGACAAAACTATAACGTAGTTAGTTATCAATGCAGTTTTTGTGTGTGTTTTTTATTACAGATATTCACTCCTTCTGAAAAGCTGGACAATCCTCTCGTGCTACATTTAATTTTCTGCCAGGTTGTTCATGATGCACTTAGCAACTTCTGCATTAGGCTTAACCGCGAAGAACGAACAAAGGTTCAGCAAGTGATCGGTACGTATTTTGGTGGAGGAGTAATTTAAAATCGACCACCAGTTTGTGAAGTTCATATTTTACCTTTGTATTCGAACTAAGAAAACAATCTCATGTGTGTGTATAAAGTTTGTATTAATTGTTTTTAAACTAGTGTTATCAGTTATGAGGTGGTTATAATTGGAGTGGTGTTGATTTATGTTTCAAAGTGTATCTGACGTAAATCGGAACAACTCAAGTTTCTGACTGCTAGTAACTGAGAAAATTATAAACGAGATTTTAACGTTTAACAACAACTTTCGTTATTAGTGCTATTATAATATGTAATACGTTCACTTTTGTCTCCCTAGAAAGCTACGGAATCACCCCATCTAATCTGCAGTCAGCCAGCTTAAAGTTAAGTATGAAGAAAAACCTGGTAACCATGGCCCGTGACTTGCCCCTTTACTTCTCCAGGATATATCCAGTTTCGGTAACGTATCCCAACTCTTCATGGAAACGTAAAAATAGCTATGGATAAAATGTAAATAGTCTTGATGAAATAAGTATTTCTAAGAATTACTGTACTATTGTAAGGCTTATCACCTTTACTGGTGTAACTTCTATGGTTACAAAGTAACCACAGATATAGAAACCTAATTATTAAAACTAATACAGATATAAGCTGAGTTAGTAAAGCAGCCATGTTAGTCTCGTCTCAAGTGGTCAGTAGTTATCAACAATAGTGCATGATCCAAAGAAACATTACATTCTACTGAGAAGGTCAGTCAGGTTAATTGGTATATGAGAACTGGACAACACAATATTTACGTGAGTCTATCTGTAGAAAAATGACCCCCGGTAAGAAACCATTAACGGCTCCCTTGTGTAATACTAGTGGTTACGTGGATTTTATTTCGTTGTCATTTTATCATTTTTCAAGTACCAGTTTTCGTCTTCTGTATAGTTGTTAGTTATTATATAGTTTTATAAATACATTGAAACAAATATTTCTAAGCTCTGAAACCTGATTTTTAATCTCATTACTAACTGTTTTATACTAACTGATTAGTCATTTAAAAACAGGGAATCCTCAATAGCCGCGTCACTTGAAATTCATTTAGGCAGGATTATAGTAAATTAATCCAATACCCTTTTTTTTTGTTTTATTAGCTATATTTCTGTGCGCCAGGAATGCCAAGCGTGTACTCTCCAAATTGAAATTATTTTAGGTAGGATTAGAGTAACTTAATCAGTAAGACCTTGGTATGGTCAAATACATCAATCTAAAGGGTTTGACCTCCTGAGTCCAAAACTGTAATTACATCACAAATTGGTCAAGAGATGACGGAGTTATGAGCTACAAGTTTATACTAGAAAAAAACTCTGAGCCATTCTATGAGCCGCTATGCCGAGGTTGAAAAACATTAAATTGTAAGACTGTTCACCCATTCCTGCTGGGTTGTTGTGTAACCAGATGTGTAGATAATAAGGTTTCTGCAACATCGTTACAAAGTGTGTTACCAGATAGCACCTAGATGGTTGAATTGGTACCACAATCTTTATATAACGTGATTTTAGGTGAGGTCTAGATGGTTGCGTTGGTACCACAGTCTTTATTAAAGTGTGTTACCAGATAGCATCTAGATGGCTGAATTGGTACCGCAGTTTTATAAAGTGTAATTCCAGGTGAGTTCTAAATGACTGAATGAGTACCACAGTTTTATAAAAGGTGATTCTAAGTAACGGCCAGATGGTTGAATTGGTACCACATTTTTTATAATAAAAAAAAGTTATTCCAGATGAGGTCTAAATGGTTGGATTGGTACCACAGTCTTTATAAAGTGTGATTCTAGGTGAGGTCTAGATAGTTGGAGGCCTGGCATCCAGGTGGTTAGGGCGCTTGACTCACAATCTGAGGGTCGCGGGTTCGAATCCTTGTCCCACCAAATATGCTCGCTCTTTCAGCCGTGGATGCGTTATAATGTGATGGTCAATCCCACTATTCGTTGGTAAAGGAGTAGCCCAAGAGTTGGCGGTGGGTGATGATGGATAGCTGCCTTCCCTTTAGTCTTACAGTTCTAATTAGGGTCGGCTAGTGCAGATATCCTTCATGTAGCTTTGCGCGAAAACAAACAAACAAACTAGATGATTGGATTGGTACCACAGTCTTTATGAAACCTGATTCTAGGTGAGGTATTAATGGTTGGATTGGTACCACAGTTAAATAAAGTGTGTTTATAGGTGAGGTCTAGATGGTTGGTACCACAGTTTAATAAAGTGTGTTTATAGGTGAGGTCTAGATGGTTGGTACCACAGTTTAATAAAGTGTGTTTATAGGTGAGGTCTAGATGGTTGGTACCACAGTTAAATAAAGTGTGTTTATAGGTGAGGTCTAGATGGTTGGTACCACAGTTTAAAAAAGTGTGTTTATAGGTGAGGTCTAGATGGTTGGTACCACAGTTTAATAAAGTGTGTTTATAGGTGAGGTCTAGATGGTTGGTACTACAGTTTAATAAAGTGTGTAGGTGAGGGCTAGATGGTAACCATCTAGCCCTCACCTACACACTTTATTAAACTGTAGTACCAATAACACATTTTATTAAACTGTGGTACCAATCCAACCATCTAGACGTTATCTAATAACACATTTTATTAAACTGTGGTACCATATCCAACCATCTAGATTTTATCTGATAACACATTTTATAAAACTGTGGTACCGATAACACATTTTATTAAACTGTGGTACCAACCATCTAGACTTCACCTAGAAACATTTTATAAAACTGTGGTACCAACCATCTAGACGTTATCTGATAACACATTTTATAAAACTGTGGTACCAGCCATCTAGACTTCACCTACAAACATTTTATAAAACTGTGGTACCAATCCAACCATCTAGACGTTATCTGTACACAACATAACCGTACAGGTTGTCTCGTCTAGATTTACCTGTACAGGTGGATACACAACATGACCGATCAAAGGGTCTCGTCTAGGTTACCTGTACACCTTAATTTTGGGTAGATACTTTCATCCAGGTTTACTTGATCCTATATTGGTACTTAATAAAGATGCTTTTCAAACTGTGCACCAACGCACAATGTATCTAGATAACAAACGTCCGATATTGTACATAAAGTAACAAACGTATCATATTTACATTAAGATCATTGCACAATTTGACGGCATATTTCATTCCAGGATATTATACAGTCATGTGATCCAGGATATTATACAAATCGTGCTTACGTTATTCCATTTGTAACCAGTTTTATCTACATCAACTTAAAAAAAAGTAATGACTTTTTACTGCACTATGAAATAGATCTCACCTGGAATCACACTTAACAAAACTGACTGTGGTACTAATCCAACTATCTGGATATTAAATGGTAATACACATTATAAAACTGTGGTACCAATCCAACCATCTAGACGTTATCTCTTCAGACATCGGTAAAACTCAGTATACTTCAGACATCGGTAAAACTTAGTGTACCTCAGTACAGGTGGATACACTAAGTTTTACCGTTAAGAGTTTAATCTGGGCAAATCTCAATGATATGGCTTTTTTATTTTTAGGGTGGTCAGAACTTACCCAACGTCCAGTTGTTAGCTGTTTCACACTCGGGTGTAAGGCTTGCACGACGAGAACGAAGTGCCGTATGTGATTATCTACAAATGCTGGACACCATAGGGTGAGTAACAATAAAGCAATAAGTTACTTTAAAGTTCCATACAGACAACGATCACTATTTCTATAATAAACCCATGTTTCAGTTATTGTGATATATACCTAAATAAGGATATTATAAACTTGTTACTGCTGAGTGGGTCTTTATTCACCCTGTTTGACCATGTTATCCTTATTTGGTGGTGTTGGGTCTTCTTTGACGTTGTTATTAGAGTTAAAAATGATTTGGTCTTGTTTATTGATGTCGATTCTTTTCTGACATTATTAAAATCTTGATTTAATTTTTTAAAGATTTATAATTGGCTGAAAACTTGTTTTACTGGTATTGCTACCTTTTCATTCGTTTGTTCTGTATTTACTTTTCTGAAAACTTTCGTTACTGAAACTAAACTTTATCTGCTGATTTGGTGCTTTGATACAAAAGCAACACTGTCAGGAGCCAGAGCTGTGAGGGATCAGTTCTTTTCTAGATTGGCTTTTAAAGCCTTAGATTTAAATCTGGTTGAGCTTTTCAAATGGCGGCAAGTTTCCAAAAGGATCTTTGAAACTCACGTTCTTTGCTGTTGATTTATAGTAAACACTAACAGGTTTGTTTGAGTAAATAAATTAAGTATGTGTATATACAGGAACGTGTCTTGAATAATTTTAAATACCAATTTGTTTTCTCTCGTGCGTTTATAGTTTCGAAGACATTGCTGAGATTGCTGTTCCAAGGACAAGCACATTACAAATATTACTGAAAAACGGGGGGTGGATGACTCTCTATTCCCACAAGGTTTGTCATCTGGACATTTGATGCTACGTTAGATCTTCCAGTTTCTTTTACAACGTTATGTATTTTTTGATTTAGTTTGCGACCAAGCCTACACAACAGTACTGTTCAAGTTTCTTCCACAGTGTTGTTTATAATATTCCTCAGGCCAGAGAATATTAGGGTAGACAATGACTTTTATTTATGTCTGATGAATCTGAAAGATAATACTGCCGTTTCAAAATTTTTAAATGTAAAATCCATTTAGTTAAAACTCCGAATTTAACTGTCACGTATTAAAAACCGTTTGTACAAAATGTGCGAACTTTCGCAATGACCTTAACCAATAAATATGTAAACTGGCACTTTAGAGGAATGTGTGTTACACAACGAGGGATGTAAAGAATAATCATATGTTATTTATTAATATTGTCTTCTGGACACAAGTGAAAAATATGAGTTAACATAATATTTCAATCGACTCGGTGGTAGTACCTTAACTACATACGTTAGCTTTAATTAGAATATCGTATACAACATAAGTAGTACCTTAACCACATACGTTAGCTTTAATTATAATATCGTATACAACATTAGTACCTTAACCACATACGTTAGCTTTAATTATAATATCGTATACAACGTAAGTAGTACCTTAACCACATACGTTAGCTTTAATTATAATATCGTATACAACATTAGTACCTTAACTCAGTACGTTAGCTTTAATTAGAATATCGTATACAACGTAAGTAGTACCTTAACTCAGTACGTTAGCTTTAATTATAATATCGTATGCAACATT